TTTTTAAATTTGTTCTTATAAAATGCATAAAATTTCTATGTAATTTCATATTAATTTCAATTAACCGTGAAATAACTTTATTAATATAAAACTTGACCGTTTCATTAACTTTTTATCAAATTATTTCATGTCATAATTTTTATCGCGATTTATGTGCACAGTTAGAAAAGGTACATCAATACAGGTGCGATGAGGAAATATGTGGCTGATTTATGATTTCAAAAATGACTTCCGCAGGTCGACGGCTTTAGATATTGCGTGTATAAGAAAAAATGAAATATTTATGTGAGAGCGATATATTAATTGATAACGCAGCGCGATGTTTCTATTGTATTACGATATTCTTCGGGAACGTTAAATTCGATTCGTGGTATCGCGGGACCTTAATCCAACCATATTCCGAACCGATAGATAAAATCGCACGTTTCTTACGAGCGTAGGCTTGAATGGAGAATTTCATATCGATATTCGATTTTTCCATCCGTAACGGTACACCACCCCTTTCGCGATCGCGCTTTGTAGGCCAAAGGAAAGAGAGGAAGAAAACACGAACCCGTAATTTCGATGCTCCTATTACGCGATAGATCATGAATGGTTGCTCATTGTCAGCTGCAAAAGAGACTTGCATGCCGATCGATTGCCGAAACGGCTTTGTCCACGATAATCTTTGCATCTACAATTTTTTTCCGCGAATGCAAATAAACACGAGGAAAATGATGACACGAGTATCAACTATAAAAGTGACATCCGAATATTACTACATTGTTTTACAAACTTTTATTTGTCCTGCGAGATTTGCATGGGATATCCAGTCGGGAGCTTTACGAGGGAATCTCGTACTATATGAGGATTGAGTTTAATATTTGACGGTTTCATCGAATGAACAATAATCTCGCGAGATTATTTATCTTTGGGAGATGGGAATTAAATCGATTCGCTAAATTACTGAGAGGGCCCTTCTCTCGGGGATTTCACCGAGCATGAATGAATATTTAAACGGAGAAAAGGCAGCCAGCATTAAGGACTTTCTTATTATTGAAAAGTTCGCGATAGAAAATAGCTTATATTACTTTCAATGCGCTCGGGCTTTCCGATAAACTTCATTATTTCGATGCTCTTACGAGCTTTATCATTAAAAAAGTAGTAAAATGATTTATACTGAAATAGTACCTAAAAGGGTAATATGCATTTTGCTGAAATATATAATTGTTCATTTTATTACTTTACGTAGACAGAAATAAATGTAAAATATTTCTCACCTGTTATTCAAATCTTAATCACTTTTTAATCGGGGAATTGATTTTGCTGCGGCAGAAATATCGATTATTATCCCCTCACTCCACCATTACAGATGTACATTACAAACATTGCAGACTTTTCAAACGAGCATTAGCGCAAATATTTTTTTAAATCCTAACATAAATAATGAAGATTGGAAAGTTGCGGTAAATGATTAATTTTCTTGACACCCTCGCTACAGGAAAATTGATGTCGATTTCCTTCTCGATACGAAAATGGGACGTGCTGCTTTTTAATAATTCACGGCATATATTATTCAGCGTTCAACTTCGTCATCGTTGTTTCGTTTCTCATTAGAAGAAAAAATTAGTAAAATTACAGTATTATGATATTTAATGCGTGCTACATGAAACGAAATACAAGATAGCTTTTTGTTCGATAGTTTATTGTCAATCAATTTTGTCGCCGTGTACATACATACTTCTCCGTACAAACGTACAGTTACGTTTTATATTTCTCAATCTTGCAATAGAGAAAGAATAGAATGTCAAAAGTTAAGTACGAGCCAATCCGAGCCAATACGAACTCATCCATGAAATAAAGAAGCTTATAGCTCGCGATGTCTCTTAACAAAGCATAATCTACGGATATTCGATATCTTCAATATCGATGGCCTTCTCTTGCGTTTTAACTTTCCTCGGAAAGGTATTCTCGACATTCGTCTCCTTGAGTTGCGTGAAGGAAGTTCGAGAAGTCGCCGAGATTCTTTTCCCAGTTTCGCTAACTGTACTCGACTTTGAAATTCGACGAGATTATAGCGAGAAAAGGGATATCAAATATCTCAAGTCTTCTCTGTTTTCTATTCCCGCGATCAAACGAGACTGCAATTTCGTAATTGCGAAGCTTATTGTCACCGGCTTGCGCTATACACGCGACATTAAGACTTTATTCACATGTAGAGGATTGTTTAAGCTTCTCGCGAAAGCACCGAAAGTACCATCTTTTCCATAAATTCCAGTGAACTTAGATTAATCGACACAACTGGGAAGACGATTATTTTCTTTTTTAAACGAGGAAACAAGGCGAGATAAGTGAATTTACGTGCGTTAACTTAATGAGAGAGCAAAGCCAATTACGTCTAACGACGTAACAAACACCGTGCATTTTTATCGTGCGCCATTTCTTCGATCGCACTCAAATCGCCAACGGCCTACTTAGAACCCACCCAGCCAGGCAATTTATTTTCATTTCTCCTAACGATTCTCCACCTTGCCCGCGCCCCACATAGACGACGAATAATTCGAGACCCCTCCGCGATTCACTTGGCGCGATCGATCGCGTTAACGTTACGTCTCCGGAGGAATCTTGTAATGTAACGCGATTACGAACGAGCTGGAAAACGCGTATAATGGCTTCCACCGTCTCGGACGACGCGACATCGCCCCGAGATGGCCGGCGGTGTCGATTCGACAAAGGGACCGTGAGCGCCGGATTCTAACAGCGGAGATTTTTCATTTGAACGAACGATAGATATCTAGGCAGCTGCCGCAGCGCGTTCGAAAATTCTCTCCCGCTTACGTCCGCTACCGCGGCATATGTTCCGTGAAGTTTGGATAAAAACCCGGATGTTATAAACTTTTTAATAAATATTTCATCGAGTTTTGTTTTAGCAACTTTGCACTCCGCTCCGCATATAAAGTTTCATGACCTAAAAATTAGGATTACGTAATACATTATACATTATGTCTAGAAGCTTGCGGGACCAACAGAATTATGCATTATACATTACGTCTTGAAATAGTTGCAAAAATGGTACATCATCTTTTCTCACTCATTCATTGGCGTATGTCCATTTTATAATTGTTCTTTCCGTCTAGAATCTAGTATCCATTTCGCAAAAAAAAATCCTCCCCTGTCACAGAGAACTAATAGCGAATTCGGCAGACTGCACTAGTGTGCACTGAGTGCACACCAAGACTTGTCCAGAATCTACTCTGATATTTATGGTCACCTCGAGTACATGTCTGAAAATCTATCTAGCCAAAAAGATTATCCGTACGAATGCTATACAAATCACTTTACTGGCTAAGAAGTATTTCAAAAAGTATTCAATACGATCCTTAAATATGGCTGTAAACTAGCCTTGGTGCGCACTAGTGCAAGCTGTCGAATTCGCTATGAGCAATATGTCAAGTACAGTTTTACGAACGAGAAATAAGTTTTATATTAAACACTTGTTTTAATTACAAGCAGACGTTATTCTAACGTAATTGCAATTTGCAGTTAAATCGTCGAGACACTCGTTAAAAAAATTTTAAATTATGAAAGAAACGTTTAGCAGAGTCTCCGGACTAAGGTAAACACAGCGTGTACTTTCTTTCAGCGTGTACTATCCTCTTTCTCTCTTTCTTGATCTCGTTTCTTGCGGACATGGCGTTGTCGTGCCGCGATTGCAGCACAACAGCTCGTAATACGTAAATTTCCACGGATGTATACGCACCGCTGCATGATTAAGAGAGACTCGACTTCCACGAGACGTAGTGACAAGGAACGAAATACGTAGGAGACGAGGGGAGATAACAGAGATAGAGAGGACGGCTTGGTACCGTTTGCATACCGCTGCATAATATACGTAACTGCGTTACGCGGCGTACAATGCGCGCATTAGGGAAGGAATAACGATACGTCGTTTCGCCAGCTTTGCGCTGCTCTGATTTGGCCCTGACGTAATGATGTTCCGCGTCGCTTATTTGTTCCGCCGAAAGCACCGGCCTGACAGAGTGGGAGCGTGCGCATTTTCGGCAGACGAACAAATATACCGTCGAATTGCCGCGCATATTTTCTATTTTTCGCGAACGCAATTAGTAAAATACGCCGATGGGAAAGTCTGGCTGAAACTAGCTGGTGGCATTTTTCTCTCCGACGATCGACCTCGCGGCGCATCTTCGTCACGTAATCGAATTATCCAAATCCCATTAGTGGCTCATCGATGCGACGGTGACTCAAAGTCTGTATGCACACGATCGTAATTAACGATCGTATGTACGTGGGTACCATGTTGTTTGCCAGTGACAAATTCGGAGCGCACTTGATTGAACGTAACACAGCCTATCCGCGGTGTATAACCGGGTTGTCTTACGAGATATTAAGCCATAACTCGGTCATCCTGCGTCGTGTAATAGAATTGGTGGCACCAATTTCGTTCCGGTGAAAACAACAAAAATCGTTGCGGAACAACGCCCGGCCGAGAAGCCGATATACCGGCGGGTCCCGCGAGGCAGGCGTATTCGCCCGTGCATGAAATCTGTTTGCCGGCTTTATCGCTCGCGCAGTTTCATGGGGCAGCCATTTGAAAAATGAAAAAGAGACCGCCGGCGTACCGAATAACTCTTTACCCCACGACCATTCTTATTGCTTCGCGCGGTCAGGATTTTTTGTATCGTACAACACCCGACAATTTATTAGTACGCGACGATTTTTGCGATGAAGCGAGAAGAGTAAAGCCAACGGTACACGATCCTATTTTTCCTACTGGATTACTTACGAGAGCCAATCAGGATTCAGCTTTGAGTCACCTGATCGAAAACTCTGCATCCTGATTGACTCTCGTAAGCAATCCGGTAGGAAAAATAGTATCGTGTGCCGTTGGCTCTAGTTTGTCTCTTTTAAGCCTGTTTTAATCCTGTTATTCCATTTGCACAAGTGATACGTGCCGATCAAATATTACATCCTACAGGACTGCTGAAAGTTCTGTTACTCACCCTCGGCGACTTGCGTTTATTGGCGTTCTCGACGCAGGGAAAGCCACCGCACTGAAACACAAAATGTACCGTGTTACATCACGTTTTTCTTTATCTAATTGCATCTAGTAATAACACTAGTATGTAGAATATCTTAACTGCGATAGTTGAAACGGTTGGAATCGCCATTAGCAATGCGGAGCGTTAAGAAAGAGCGTTTCGTAATCAGAAATTTTGCATTCGGTATTCACTGTAGCCGTAAAAATATTTTAATGCACCAGATACCGGGACCAGAGATACGTGACATAGATTGGCTTTATGGTAGAGTAAACGGTAGATGGCACAGTATAAACTGCATTCGAGACGACAGCAGTTCGCGTAGTCTTGGCTGCAAACGCCGTGACTTCCGCAGGGGTGACTGATCCGCACAGTCGTTTGGGTTTAGCGAACCCACGTACCCGAGCTCAACACACACTGCGGACACTCATACACATCTACACATAGTGTACAACAACCCTTGCACACGCGCTTTTGCGAGCGGCGGTGCAGCAAATAATTGAGGAGAGCAAAATTTGGCCAAATCTAAGGGGGAAGGGAATAGTCAAACTTAGGCGTAGAACAAGATAGATTCGTGTAGAACGGAATAGCGCGAGCTCATATTTTCGCCGTTTAACTAACGTGAACCGTTGCGAACATGGGAAAATCGTATTAATTTGCAGTTGTATTATGAAATCGTGTCCGCGTCGAGAAAGAGGGAGAATTTAACGATCGATATACATAGGAAATTTATAGCTACGGAAGTTACGTAACGCGACTATTAACTCTTATAATACATTACAAGTGTAACATTGCACGTGCATTTGTAATAACGTTTACGCGCAGCTGCATAATATTACCGGAGAAGATTTACAAATCACGGGAATCCTGAACTGCAATACAAGACTCGCGGATAATGTAATTCGATTCCCAAACTATAATTTAATATAACAAATAATGTTGACTTCCTTCATTCTCCTGTTCTGGCGTAGACGAGGGGTAAACCGCTGACCAAACTCATGTACACCAATGCCCACTAATGCCCAGTGGGCATTACCTTATCTTCAATCTGTTCTCTCGTCCAACACACATCTCTTGATACTTTTACTCGTGTTTAACAATTAACAGGGTTGGCTGGAAAAATCCAGGGGGTGAAAAAAACCATGGCAAATTCCACTTTTTACCGTCCCAGGCTTTATCCAATGGAATAAATTGGCAAAAATTATAATACTTAATTAAAATAGATGTATATATAAATATTAGTCATTTTTATAGTCTTTATGAAAAAAAGATGTTTGTTTTAAATACTAAATCATAGATATTAGTCACTATTTTAAAAAGAAACCAATATGATAAGTTTTTAATTTAAAAAATTGTTTTATTGAAATTAATACAATTTTTTAACGAGAATATCGGATATACTATATTTTATATTAATTTTTAGTTTATGCGGGGAAACAATACTTTTTTGCAGTGCTTTCTAAACGTTTTCTACTTATCTTATCGTTTTTAATAGAGAAGACCATTTTTGCCGGTTTTTACCACTGGCATGGACTTTATCGAAAAATGACAGTTAACTATGCAACTTCAATTGACTTTGCACTCTTCAACCAAAGAGTGCAATCATTTTTTACTAATATCTTACTGACATAGTGATATTGGCCAAACGAACGATATAAAATGATTAATAATTGTGTGAATAGATTACTTGAAAAGGGTCCGAATCTGGGACAGAAACGTTGTGGTGTTTTTAAATAAAAACATTGGCCAGTGTAGATCGTTTAAAAATTACATATCATTGGTTTTAAACTACTGACGATATTAAATCTATTTGTGAGTTATTACTTTATCTTGTTATCTTATTTTATTTTTATAACGCCCCAGCAAGGCCCAAACTAATGCCCAAAAAATGCCACAACGCCCTCAGCGGATTTTACCCCTCGGGCGTAGATTGTAATAGCAATTGCGCGTAAAGTGTATTCAAATGAAAATAAGTCTCCTAATAAACGGGATTGTTAGAAAATTGTTAAGAAGTTGTCGAGAGATGAATGGATGATATTGAGAAATATCATTTCTCCATTGTGAAAAATATTGCACGAATTCTCTCCCGTGAAGAACAATTCCGATCGTTTCACCCGCAAAATTGCGCTGCTGGATCACACCTGCCGCGAAACACACTTATGCATCATTATAGTAGCGAAGAAAAATACTCGAAATATCGTCCGTGCAAAATGGTCCCACAGAACTCGCCGGCGTGGCAATAATTCGATGCGTCCCTCCTCATCCAGCTCGTCTGTTTATTACAGCATACGGTTTGACGATGGTAGGAAACCGCGCACGGTTTTTCAGCCCCCTCGTTACGCGGGCGGCCGAAACGAGCCGTCATTTCGAAACGCGAGAGGCTCGCACAACCATAGCCGCGAGACCGCAAATGCGGTTTATTATTTTATCGCGACGGGCATAAAAGTGACGAGCGCCCGTACGCGATTTCTGAGTTTCGCGTGCGTGCGACGAGCACGACGCGCGGACGAACCGGGCGAAGCGACGCGGAAATATCGCCAACGTGATTTTTTTTATGTTGGATCTTAACCCTTAACCCTTTTAGCTGTATATAACTGCGGACGCCGTGTGGGCACGTTCCAGGAAAAAACGAGACACTTGCAATAAAAGCAAGTAGAATTTTGAGTGATTAATCGATTAAGGCTTCTTGCCGTTAGCTCATGACGTCGTTATTTTCTGCTGTTCAATATGGAAGTAATAAACGAGAGCGGTATTTCGTAATTACAGTGCATTTCCATTCTACGTGTCAATAACTTTGAAAGCGCTGTTTTTATATCGTAGCTAAAAGTTAAATCGACCGAACGTTTGTATCTAAATATGCACTAAAATAATGTTAAATATCACATTATGTAAATATTTCCCATAAAAGTTTTCCAATTTAATATGTTCCCTCGAGTACCAAATTAATCTGTTTTTATATTAAAAAAACAAACTCAAATGTACAATGTTCCCGTTTGAAAGTATATTTTAATACGAAAAGGGTTTATCGATGATAAACGCTTTCCTTCTTATCTTAAATTTCAAGAAGTAGAACACGATTCCATTTTTACACAGCTCTTTTTACGTAAAACAATTGTGTTGAAAACAAACTTATGTAAATTTGTATGAAATTTACTTCGGTATGCATTGTTCTCGCAAAATGCAATATTCCTGTCAAAAATATGACCTGAGAAACTCGGAACATGTCGGGATGGTGGACGAGTTACGAGGGAAGGACGTGAAGGAAGGACGCTCGGTTTTGTCGATGATTTGCCGAGCGGTCGCGACGCGGAAGAATGGAATTGCTTTCCGCTTCCGGCAAAATTCCCGCCATATTCCCAGGACATGCTACTTCCGATTATATATATACACAATATACCATATATATATATAACGCATTTCTAGTCCAGTCAAACAATTTAAAATCCCAGTAGAAGTCTTTCTGACAATTATAATGTAAAATAATTACGATATGTAAATCGAGACAGCTGACATTAATCGGAATTAACTGGGAAATGAAATATCCCGAGAGGAGTTTAAATTTTCACAAATGAAAAAGCACCCACGGCTCTTCAATTTACAAAATAGCTATTTACATTTAATTGCAGCACACGATAAATCTCGAATATACAGCGAGTGCGCGTAAAAGTTTGGAGGGACGACAATTCGATCCTCTATCGACGTCGTGCCAGCCTCTTTTCGCGAAAGATTCACCTTTCATAGGAGGTAGGATAGCATTTTATCCGTTCTTGCGCGATCCACCCCTCGCGATGATTAAGTCGTCCCCGGAGTTTTATCCTCGAAAGACGGAAAAAAGTTTCACAACGAAGACTTGAACTCCCTCTTTCCGTCTAGGACCGAAGCGCGGTTTTATCTTCGATCACGTTTCGCGCCGCGATGCGGTCTCGTTTGCGCAAAGTCGAGCAGGATAATCGATACGTCTTCGTCCGTTCTCGCCACCTAAAGCCGTCGGGATGCTATTTCTCGTCGCTCTCTTTGCCCTTCGTTACGCGATCTTTTATTATTATGCGCGTCCAAGGCTAAGAACGATTCGCGCAACGCCATTTTTCTCCCGGTAAATGGGTAACTACGCAAGCATCACGAAGAAAGCTTAAAAAATGCATTTAAACGACCCGGTTTTGTTTCGTGGAGACGCGAAATCGTTTCTTTATCTAAAACGAACGATCGATTTGCCAATTTTAGAATAAAAATCGAACTGCTGTTTCGATATATAAATAAAAGTATACGATCTCATAGTCTAGGTCTAGAAAATAAAAAACCTAGAAAATAACAACCTAGAAATAAAGTCTAAATAAAAGCGTTCGCGCTATTCTAGAATTTTCGCGTAAAGGAGGTCGGAACTAATAGAAATGTCCGGCATTATGACACTTTAAAATGTGCACTTAATATACGACATATTCACGAGATATTAATGACCGACTGTAAATATATCGAATTGTGTAGGCGAGATTATGGCCCACGTTTGAATCGATTTCCGATCAACGCGCTCCGCTGTACGTCCAATCGCTGACATTTCCCTCAGCGAAAACGTCTAACAGACCAGGACATTGACATTGCGTTTCAAGTTTCGAGCACAAAGGCTGTCACTGCTACTTCGTGCTCCGATTCGTTTTTAAGTGAACGTGAATATCGATCGGGGCTCGCACAATTCTCCGTGTATAATAACGCCCTGAATAATAATGTAAATGTCACAATGCAAATTCTCGATGCCATAAACGCGGCCTGTGCAAACCATAAGTAATTTACAGTGCACCCGATTAATGCGAGCGCCGTCCCCGTGAAACGTTTACTCTCTCGATTTTGCGGGGCCCCCCCGTTTCACTGTAAATGATCGAAAGGCCCCGTGTCAGCGAGGATTTTCATTTTTCGCAGTTGACGGGAATAGCCAGTCGTTACGTTCCCGCTCGGAACAGAAATTAATTCAGTTTTACAACCACTCCTCTTACATTTGCGCTTCCACCCCCGGCAGCCAGGCG